CAGTATGATTTATCACAGAGCAGGAGTTCCAGGTTTAGAAATGAGGCCATGATTCAGTCCAACAGCCTCAGCAATGATAAGCTTAAAGTGATGCATGTATAACATCTCATTATCAAAAATGTAAAAATATGTTTTGTAATTGTGAGACAAAGCTCTCAAGCTTTTGCAGACCAAAAGAACTTTGGCTTCCTGGACTAACTGTACATTTACTTTTTCTGACAAAAGGTAATTGTGGTTTATCTGTTTATAAACAGTAGAAAATTGGAGAAAAGAGAATTAAAATTCTCTTTTACCTCACTCAGTACTGTTTGCTATACAGGAAACAACCATAGAGGAAAAAGATCTGTTGCTCTGCTGATTCTCCAATCCTTTTCTCAGTGACAGGAGAAACTGTAATAGCAAAAGGCTTTTTCAGCTGGGGCATTTTGAAGACTTTCCATAAGACCGTTCTCCTGATCTCAATATCTTAACGAAACATGCACGATATTTCTCCCTCCACCATTTCTGCTCTCTATTTTGGTTACCATTGGCTTCTGCTCCCCATCACACCGTGGACTTGCAGATGCTCTGCCTGGGTAGCAGCAGTAGGTCTAGCAGAGCTGACACGCAGCTCCCACTCACAGAATCACCTCAGCATTGCTGCTTGCTCTGTCAGCACATACTTAAAACAATAAAGGTCTGCATTCTTGCTCGATACTGGATCTTTGGATTTAGGTTGTTATATGCCTAATTCTAATCATTATTGTTAGACAAAGACCAACTGTAAAAGTTCTTGAAAAGCTGGAAATACCAATGACCTCAGGAATCATGCAACCACATATTTCAACAAAATGGGCTCTTCGTACCCATTTCTACAAAGTGCCACCAATGTGTTCAGAGCCTCTGCCTGTCGTTGACTTCAAAGGTCATTTGTCAGCACTTTGCAGAGATGGTCCTTACTAAAAATGCCAGCTTGGAAAATATGACAAAGAGTAGAAGTAAGAAACTATTCAATTATAGTGAATGTTGTTCATACAGAAAGGGGAACTACAGGGACATAGAAGGATAATCTGCATAGGTAAACATGTTTATAATGAAAACCACATTTAATAAGTAGTTCACCTACTAATGACCTCTTGAAAAAAAAAGGATTGTTACTACTGAGTGGAAATAGCATACTGTAATTCTGGACTAATAAGAAAAACTTAATTATTATAAATTTCATGTCTCAATAAGAAATCACAATGCAGTTCATGATAAAACAGATAAAAACAACTTAAAATAGCATTATCAATAAGAAATTATAAGAAATATTCTTAACAAAGGCAAAGAATTGTTAAATATGTACTGTAATTTTTATCATGTTCATCATGATGTCAAAATTTATCAGACTGCTAGGGTAAAAAGCAGATAAGGAAAAAATTGCATTATATAACAATTTTAAAATCTGAAATATAGAGATCTTATTTCAAAATGGAATTTAGTTTGGAAGTCCAACAGATTTATTTCTTGCTGTGTTTTACACTGGAATCTCTTGTAATAAGCAAACATAAAGTGGAGCAGAGAACATAACTTATCATGTGGTAAGAAGGTTTTTTGTTTGTTTGTTTTTAAAATTAAAGGAATCATGCAGGAAAAGCTTCCTTTAAACACAAGAAACTCATGTTATTTGACTAGTTATTGATACTACTGGCATATAGCATGTTGATTAAAAGCTTAATATTTAATAACCCTGAAATTCTAAAGCTCATGCTCTATTTCTCCAGACATTATTTGGTTGGCATTGGTGGGATACATAATATTGTACTTTCAGAGAAAGACAGTCAATAATTACATTATTTAATATGAATTTAAACTTCTAAGGTACTAAATAACTGCTTAGTTCTTCAGTGGACTGTAATATTTGTGTAAATGCAATGTATTTCTACAAGCAGCAATAGGAAATAGTCATATTTGTGTAAGTTTACATGGCAAAATACACTCAATCAACTGTTTCCAAAATATATAGGAAAGCTGTAGAGTATGGTATAATAGCACATATTTTTAATCATCCAGTGATTTCCTCGAATGTCAGTTCCCTAGCAGTGGTACTCAAGACACACAACTTCCCCCCAGAAAGGTGTGTAACTGCAGACAAAACAATTTAATTGTATGTATGTCTATATAATATTTTGTATGCAGATTAAACTCTTTGTTCCTGAGTTTAAAGCATGCACACATTTATTCTTCTCATATTTTTAGCTGACCAGGAGCTGTGTAACTGCATTAATTCTTGAGCTAATATACTGTGGCTCTCAACAGGGCTAATTAGTTTGGGTTCAGCCCCATGTTATAGCTCCAGATTGGCTTGGAAAGGAATCAAAGCAAGCTGTCTATATAAGACTATGTATATATACCTGGTACCAGTAACGACAAATAATGCATTCTAATTCAGAGTTTGATAACCATTTCTTCATCTCTGCTTTTCTTTAGAGAGGTAACAGTTTATGAAAGAAATAAATCCTTTAATAGTAAGTTCATTCATGAAAAAGACAAAATGTTGACTTTGTCCTAGCCCATGCTATTATGTACATAGTAGACATCCCTGTACGTTCATGATACTGCATTCTTCAGTTTTACTCTTTGAAGTGTAAAACAGTGTTAGTAATTAGGAATGAGCACACCTTGTAGTGTGCTACATATATGTAGCTACCTATATATGTAGGTATATAATTATATATATATTATATATAAACATTTCTGAGATGGGTTTGAGGGCTTCAGCTTGTAGGGAGTGGAGAATGAAATTTGACATGCCTTTCTTTACAAAAATTGAGGAGCAGCAACTCCTTAAATATTTTCTTTCAGTACGTAAACACCCTGTTCTCCCTTTTTGCCTGTACTAAACTAAAAAGATTCCAAACTACAGAATATATTTGAAACAATTATTGCAAATACAGATTTTGCAATGTTGTCCCTATAACCTGCCTGAACATCTGTAGCCTTGATGCACAAGGCAGCTCAGCTCCATCATTGTATGGCAGGAAGGGGAGGAGAAGCAAACTCTAGCAGGTCTCTGTAACTTAACTGGGCTTTAGTTGATACATAACTCGTCCAGCTTATCAACTTACTTTAATCACTCAAAAGTGTTAACTTTTGCTGCCTGTTTCTACTGAGACATGAATTGGTCCTAATCCAATTAACTATCCTTTGAAGACCACAAGACACAGTTGTAGTCAGATCAGAAGACCAGGCATATAGAGAGTAAAATGTCAAACAGAGAATCAAACCAGTAAATTCTGCACTGAAATAATTTGTCCTGTATCTTTGCAAGATATTAAATTCTACAACTGCGTGCAAGTGTGGAATATAGATTTGATTGCAGTAAGTAGTTAACTTCAAATATATCTTTGCTGTTGTTCAGGTTGTCTGTAAGTTTTGCATAGATTTACACTCATTTATGTTTTGAAGTATTTCCCTGCAAAAGAAGATGGTTCTCGGACCACAGTTCCATCATAAAGAAAAAATCCTGTAGGCTGTCCCAGTATTAACAAACCATCTCAGCAAGCAAAACCAAGCATATTTTTGTTCTGCAAGACACTGTTAACTAAATTATAATTCTATAAAATTAGAAATCTAAATTCATCAGAACATAATAGTTACTGCTGCCCTCTACCAGCAGTCTTCCGGTGGATGGCTGAAATAAGGCACTACTTGCCTTTCCTTAAAAATATGTTACAGATTGCTAAACCAGTATAATCAGATATTAGGTAAACTAAGTTTAATAAGATCTTGGACCACAGGTCACTCAATGTCTCTAACCTTTTGTTTTTGTGCTCCAGGTAAGCATAGTAATGTTTATGCATTTATTTACATTAATTGTTCTGTTCAAAACAAAAAGTCCTGATTTTCTACAGTTTAAACCAATATAAAAGTACTGTGCAGATTATTCTTAATATCCTAGATCTACACCTGGAAAAATCAATTATAGTGATCTAATTTCAGTTATTAACTAGCTCCTCTGTCTAAAAGGCACTCAGAAAACATTTTATGCTATTTTTTACTAATACTATACTATGGTTTTTTTTTTTCCAAAATAAAATTACAAATATCCCAAACAGAGGGGAAGATTAAATATCTTGTCACTAGCTGTTATGGCATTTTTCTGCATTTTTTAGGATTAAAAGTTCTTAGACACAGATTATAATTACCAACCCATGAAAAGCAAGCATTTAGTTCATACTAACACTTCACTTTAATTCCATATTCATATGAAGAACAACAAGTCACCAAACATTTATGGAGACAAAATCTTTTGGGTTTGGTTTTTTTTAAAGTTCACAAAAAGTGACTAAAAAAAAAAGGCAGACCCACAAGCTTTACCAATCACATCAGTTTTGCATATGATATATCTACTGCCATATTCACCTGTCTGTAAAGCAGCTTACATAAAAAAGCTTAGAAAAACATACCAGTTTTATCAATACAAAATGAATTAATCAGCAAATATTTAAAATTTATGAGACATTTCTCAATGAAAACAATCATGCTAAATAAGCTGTTTCAGGCAGTTCTAGGAAAAGCTTTAGCTGAAAACCTGCATTTACAATCCATCCTAAAAACAAGAAGAACACAGCACCAACCCAAGCATTAAGTCAATTAAAAAAGGGGAAAAAAATGAAATCCCTTCTCAGCTTAATAACTTGTTAGTTCTTGACAAGTGCAACAACACAACAATAAGCCAGTCAAAATGAGTTTTTAAAGCGAGGTTATGCCCTTCATGTTGTGTTATCACAGTGGCAGATCAAACTGCTGACTTGGACTCTTTCTGCCAGCAGTGCTGATGCTGCCTCTATGAGGCTACTGTCACGGAATAGTCATGGTACCTGCTCTTGCCTATAGAAAGGCACTAAATTGAACTCGAAGTAGTGTCTTTGTGATATCTTTTCAACAAGTCATGTCCCATTCAGCCTGCTAGTTTATCTCTGTCAGGCTGGGGGCCCAAGTGGTTTGCATGAGCTGTCAGGGACAGGTATACCAACCTGCTCAGTGCTAAGGAGGTAATGCATCTTTCGGGCTTGGTATTTCTTTTCCTTTTCTTTCTTTTCTAGGTCTTTCATTTTCTCTTCATTTTCCTTCATTTCTACGTACTCTTGAAGTTCACTCCTGTAATAAAATAAGTCTGCTATTATATTACAACAATAAAAGATGTGCTAATGTTCTATTTTACTTTAACCCTTTCATAGCTAAACAGCTATTATGTATTAGCAGTATACTGACACCACTGAAATGCAAACTTACAGTTCATTCAATTCCACAGCAGTAGGATCTATACAAATATAACCATGAAGAAATAGGATTAAAGTGATCAAAAGTATGAACAGAATATGTGTTCATATTGCTTATTCTTTTGAAGCATATGTCAACCTATGTATTTTTACAGCCTGATAAAATACTATTCATATATGTCCTTTTATTTGTCTTTGAGTGTCATTTTAGTTTTATTATCTCTAAGCAGGAGATATTATAATGTAGTGATTTTCCTGAAAATGGTTTTAAAATAAAAGCTGTTCACTTATGTCTCAGCTGGTGCCTTGCAGCCCCTCCTGATCTGCAGAAAGGGGAGATCTTTTGGAATGGGAGAGGACAGTAGACATGGGATGAAAGATCACATTCACTCCTAGATCCTTGAGCCTTTTGTAAGGTTGAGAATGTAGGCATAGAGAAAAACTGGATGTAAACCTTTTATGCATACATTGTCCTTAAGAGGAGTTTCCATGGCATTAGACTTCTTGCATAGGTCATTCCTGCTCTGGTTTGATAGGAATCATACAGGCCACCACAAGAAACAGGAATGTAACTGCCTCATGAACCACTGCCTGTGTAGAAAATTCTTTCATCATACAAGAAATAAGGAACTATACCTAATACCAGGTTTCAAAGAATGGAGAAAACTCATGATTTTAAGTGAATATTTAGAGTAAAACTTTAACAGAAAATGGGCAGAGTTTTCCTCCTCCAAGGCTTTTTTTTTTATAGAGCCAGGCTTGCCATAAATTATGCAAACAGTAGAGTGAATTAATGTTCTATAAGGAATGAAATTCCATGATATTGTGCACAGTGCACGTTTATGGAATTTTTTTGACCCAGTTAAAAAAGGTTAGTTTGATTAACATTTGTTATTTTTGTTATTACAAAATGGCTAGTTCAAATTAACCTGTGTGCCAAAGACACCAAGCATATTCAGTCAAGCATTTAGATTGCTTAAATGTTAATTAAGTGAGTAAATTCTAGTCTTTATTTTTTTAAGCATGTGTGTTTATGATAAAATAAAAAGAAAAAATATTATTCACATAGCTAGATAATTCAAATATTCCTGCAAAACAGATCGTTTAGAGAGGTCCACATTTATAGTCTCAGTTGTTTCAATGAGTACCAAATAAGACACTGTGAGGACATGGGTCAAATCATGTCAAAATATGCACATGGATAAGTTTGCTGATATGAATAATCCCATGGGAAAGCCATACTGCTCGTGAAAGTGTTTTTAAGATTGTGGCTCCGACCTACTCTTGATATTTTAGTTATCATTAAATTAGTTCATCAAAATATATGAAAGAATAATAATTGCTTTATAAATATGAAAACTAAGAATTCACATTCTTAAGTACAAGTTGCAGCGTAGAATTTTTATTTGTTTCATGCTATCTTTGTAGTTTTTATCAATTAAAACAACTAAAATATTAAGTAATTAAACACGTTTTATTTCCACTGTAAAAGAAAAATAGAATGAGAAGGAAATAAAGATTGGAAAAAATGTACAGGTATGTTTCAATCTCTGAAAATATTTTTTGTTGCAGTTTACTGTTAAAGGCTGCTAATACAATATTTCATACAAGGTTACTTATGAAGCACACTGACGTTTAAAAATCACCATGCTATGCTTTTGCAGCAGTGTAATTTTTTTCCAACATAAGATTAAATTGCAAAATAAATGAATTACTTAGAGTGGCATGGCCCCCATTTTGCCACCCTTCTCTTGAAAATTGCTTATTAATATGAAAAAAGAAGTTGGAAAATAGCCTGTTTTACTTTATGCATAGCATTCCGGGGCCTCAAAGCCTGCAGAGCTGGACTAGCTGCACATTTTAGATTGTGTTGGCAAGCAGGGACGATGACCTTTCTGACCTGCATCTCAAGGCTATTATTAATCGCTAAGTAACCTGGTAAAGCCAAACAAATTTGTTTCCATTGAAAGGATCTCTATCTGTGTCTGAGAATTTGTGCTGTACCAAACAAACCTCATTAACTGTGTCCATTTTTGACAAAGAACTAGGAGTTGGAGAGATTGGCGACCTTTCTTTGTCCTTAAGGTACAGATTTCAGAGTCACTGCATGTAGGTACATAAGCATTTTTACTTGGAAACTCTTTGTTCTATATCCATCAATCATAAACAAATGAATAAATCGACAATGCATATAGTATCAACTTTGTTCTTTTATTTTATGCCACTTTACCTTCAATATCAGAATGTATGATCCATGGTTTATGTATTTAATACTATTTCTTCTTGATTACAGAGCCCTCTATTCAGCTTTACTACATCTATCTATAATGGATGAAATGACTATCAACATATCACTACAGTCTATTCATGTTCCTATATACTCAGGTACTTCTTCCAAACAGTGTATATGGAAGAGCTTTTATTTAGAACAGAACTGGTAATAAAAACCCACAAATAATGTCAAAAATATAGTTTTGTATTACAGAAATAATGATAATGGGATTCAAAATGTTTCCCATTGTCATCAATCTGAATTTACCAGATTGCTTTGAATGATTAATAATCTTTACTTGATGAAATTAGATGAAGTCTAAAATACTTGTAGAAGTTCAGTGTAATTCATGATCTCTTTAGAAAGTGCTATCATCCAAATCATCATGATCATTCCTGATTATCACACATCCTCACTAATATTTATACCATAATCCATGTAAAGTTTGGGGTTTTTTTAAGCATTTACAAATAATTTTCAACATACTTTTGCAGCCTACACATTTTGTCAGTTGTGCTAAAATATCTCTATCAGGCATTATACTGCCCTGTACATTTGTACCAAACATGCAGACAATTCTGTCTCAGGGATAATAGGTCCCAAGATGATTCTATCCTGAGACACAGTACAAAATTAGGGGTATGTAGCAGTCCAAACATTGCTTGGGCAAAGCACTGATGTTTTAGCATAAATATAGATTTTTTTAAAGCTATTTGAACCTGGAGCTTTCATCTCTTTTACCATACTTTCAAGAATTTGAAAGGGAGCAACAAAAGAATCTAAAAGCAGTTGGATATGAATATACTATTTCACATTAGCAGATTAATTCTAACATGTTATGCACACATGTTATGCAGGGGTTTCACTGTTCCCATACAGAATGATGTGTATAAGCGTAAGTGGTGCTAAAGACATAAACTTAATCTTCCAAATGGAGTCAGAGTTCCAGATAGCTTACAAGGAAATGTGTTCATTGAGAAGTTTCATGCTTGTGACCTGCTACATGTATGCCTTCCCAGAGAAAATAAATCCAAATTCCATTAAAGTAAATTGAAACTTGGTTGAAATTAAATGATTTGTGGATTAAATTTGTACACTTGCTGACAGCCTTCTCTTTGTTCATAGGTATTGTGGGTTCATTGAGTAATTTTTCTTGGGATATATGGGTATCATCTATATGACATCATGAATATTAGCTATGATGCATGATACTTGGTGGATTCTGGATCAATTTGCTTCAGGATAAACTTTTCCCAGCTCACTGTGAAGTGGGATAGTTGAATACAGGCAAATTGTTTGACCTGTGTTTTTAAAGCTCAAAACAATTTCTGGGGGAGAAAAAGAGTTCTATAAATGCAAAACATGTTTTAGGTTAATTAATAATCTTGTTCTATTTTTATAAATGATCTGTCTGTTACATGGCTCATAGCTGGAATAGTACTGCTCATTAAACTGTTATAACTGAAAAAGCAGGTAATTATTTTAGCACCTAAGCTTTTCATTATCTTAAAGTTTATCTCAGTATATTAACAGCATCTACTGCATCTTCCTACAAACCTGGCTTCCCATGTAAGCTTAGTCCTATCAGACTTTCTACCCACACAGGTTTTTATGGAATACCTTTGTAGAGGAAATATGTGGATGTTTTAACAAATGTAGTGTCTTATCATGATCTGAAAATTATTAAACAGATCAGAAAAATATCAATGTTTATTAGTGCAAGTTTAGGATGCATTCTTTTATTAAAAACATGAATCTACTGGCTAACACAAAGTGTGTGTTCCTTGTCATAGGGAATATTTTGTGTAATTGAAAATAGGCGTAAGATTACCAACATATGTGCTCAAAACACACAATTAAAAATGATCTTCTGTAACAAATCTGTGAAGTAGCAGCTGAATTATTAATAATAAAATTATTTGCTTTATGTAGTTCAAAAATTAAAAAATTTAATCTGACAAGGTAACTTATTGTTATTCTGATACTTCATTATGCAGTAGGCAGTGGTGTTGGTTCCTGCTATGAGATGCAAATTCGGTTGACAGTGCTCCTGCTGTTTGGATAAAGGTTAAAAATACACATATAATATTGTTTCTGGCACTTTTAAAAAGGTCTTTGAGTGATGATTTCAGTAATATACAAATTTTAGTAATTCTGCATAGAACTGCACCATTTTACAAATTCACACTGACCTACATTTTTTGAAGTTTATCAAACTATTGCATTCTGCTCACATTTTCACTGAGAGTCTGTGGTCCTTTGGCCAAACAATATTTTAAAAATTATAGTATTAACTAAAGGGCATTTGATAAAAATCAATAATTAGTATAGTTGCCTAGAGTACCCAGAAGAAGTATTAAGTTATTGTGATTTTAAACAGTTCAGACCACAAATCATAAAATGCCAGCAATTGAGGTAGTAGGCAACCTCAGCCTAAGAGGAGATAATCTAAATTGATTTTATCTTCCTGACTATATATCATTCTCCCTGCTCAAATACAGAATATGGAAGTCAAAATAAAATTAGTGAGACAATAATTTTGGTACACCACTGCATGCCACTTGATTTCACATCATATTGGTGTGGGTGAGGATAGCATATGACCT